GATTAAAGTGGAGAGATTAGTACATTTAGCTATTTCTGAAGCAACTGCTTTCGCCCCATCTGAATCTATTTGATTCCTCCTAATTAAAATTAACAAAAATGCTTAATTAATTAAATATTGTTTAATTCTTTGATTTCTTTAATGATTTATTTAAACTATAAATTGAGAAAGTCTGTAAAAAATTACCCAATATCAAGGCTTAAAGTGGAGAGATTAGTACATTTAGCTATTTCGGAAGCAACTGCTTTCGCCCCATCTGAATCTATATTATTAGACCTAATTAAAATTAACAAAAATGCTTAATTAATTAAATATTGTTTGATTCTTTGATTTCTTTAATGATTTATTTAAACTATAAATTGAGAAAATGTGTAAAAAATTACTCAAGGTTGAGGCTTAAAAAGGAGAGATTAGTACATTTAGCTATTTCGGAAGCAACTGCTTTCGCCCCATTTGAACCTATTTTATTAGACCTAATTAAAATTAACAAAAATGCTTAATTAATTAAATATTGTTTAATTCTTTGATTTCTTTAACGATTTATTTAAACAATAAATTGAGAAAATGTGTAAAAAATTACTCAAGGTTGAGGCTTAAAGTGGAGAGATTAGTACATTTTACTATTTTGGAAGCAACTGCTTTCGCCCCATCTGAATCTATATTATTAGACCTAATTAAAATTAACAAAAATGCTTAATTAATTAAATATTGTTTAATTCTTTGATTTCTTTAATGATTTATTTAAACTATAAATTGAGAAAATGTGTAAAAAATTACGAAAGGTTGAGGCTTAAAGTGGAGAGATTAGTAAATTTAGCTATTTCGGAAGCAAATGCTTTCGCCCCATCTGAATCTATATAATTAGACCTAATTAAAATTAACAAAAATGCTTAATTAATTAAATATTGTTTAATTCTTTGATTTCATTAATGATTTATTTAAACTATAAACTGAGAAAATCTGTAAAAAATTACGAAAGGTTTAGGCTTAAAAAGGAGAGATTAGTACATTTAGCTATTTCGGAAGCAACTACTTTCGCCCCATTTGAACCTATTTGATTCCACCTAATTAAAATTAACAAAAATGCTTAATTAATTAAATATTGTTTAATTTTTTGATTTCTTTAATGATTTATTTAAACTATAAATTGAGAAAATGTGTAAAAAATTACCCAATGTCAAGGATTAAAGTGGAGAGATTAGTACATTTAGCTATTTCGGAAGCAACTGCT